TCAAAGCCTTAGTGAAATTCTAATGTTTCGCAATTGAAAAAATAGATAATACTTCTTTAAACTAATAATTCTTTCACTGATTTAATGAGCCATGAAATTATTAGTTATAATAAATCATGTGATGTAATTTCAACCTTTTGGTCAAAGTGAAAATGGCCAAAATCAATTCTGACCATTTTGACTTCATGTATATTCATAAACTTTCAAGGAATAACTATTAAAGCTTTCTATACCAAATCATCAGACTATCTTTTCCTATTGTAAATATATCTATAAAATAATCTAATGTTAAAAAGAACCTCAGAACCTCGAATACATTCAAATAATACATCATCAGATTTTTTTTTATGCAATTGTTTGATAAAACATAGTGTTCTACGTCGCAATCCAAAAGAGGAAACAAAATGGTCGTAAAGGCGGTTGCAATCATTTTTATATGACACAAAGATGGTGGCAACCATCATCAAAAGTTGCATCCGGTATCCTTAATAAAACAGCATTAAAATATGAGAAACCTTTGCTTTCAAAATAGCAAAATGAGCTATTAAAAGTTTTAACACCCTCCCTCATCTACTCTAATTTGTTAAATTATTTACAAGTACAGTCAACAGCGGATGAATGGGACACATAAGAAAATGTTATTCAAAATCCATTGTGGCAAGATTACTAATTATAATCTTGCCACAACGGATTTTTATGTTTTTATATGTTATATGTGAAGCAAAAATTTTAATCTGTTATGGCAAGGTCTACTGTATCATTTTTCATGTTAATTGGGTTGTTTAATAACAAGTTTGAATTTCTAATGATGAAAAACAAATTGATGTATTAATACAGGTCTGCACAGTAATAAAATTTAATATTTTTGTTTAAAATGACAGGTTGAAATAATAATATAAATATATAATATCCTAAATTAATTAATTTGATTTGATTTTACTATCTTATAGACTTCACATTCTTCTATCAGATGAGTACTTGTACTTTTATTTTTAAGATTTAAATTGTTTTTATAAAAACTAGTGACACCAAAACAATAATAACGACAATAAAGTTCATTATCAAAACTATTACATAATTGTAAATCCCTAAAATTTATAGTCTTTTCTTGAAACATTATATTATCATCAATTTTTTGTTTATTATGATATATTGCTTTACTGGGAATTCTGACTTTACTTAATATTGAATTATTTATCTGATTTTCATCAATTTTGAAAATAAAACTTTTATCTGTTTCAATCCAATACTTGTCATCAGGAGACTTTTCTTTTATGTTCCAACCAACTGGATTATAACCACCAACCAATTCTCCTGTATCTTTGATTTTCATAATTGCTATAGTTTGTTTAATATTATAACATTTATTCTCAAAGACAGATCTAGAAAATCCATCTTGAGTGAACTGATGAATTAATTCAAATTCATAAGGTATATCATTTTCATTATATAGATCATCTTTACAATCAATCCAACTTGAAATTAGAGATTTCATTTGTAAATTTAATAATTGTCCCATTCTTGCTCTTGACCTTGGACCTTTTTGGAGTATAAACCTTGGTTGGCATCTATGAGTGATATGGTATTGATAAAGTTCTTCATACATTTCTTTATTAAAAATTTTTTTATAACATTCAATTTTATCATAAAAATCATTAGAAGAAATTTCATAAAATCTTATGAGTGGAATAATATCTTCTAATATATTTTTCAGCATGATAAAATCTTCCTTTATCCACTTTGAAACATTTTTGTCTAATTTTTCATTTTGATATTTTCCCCATTGAATGACACTATCCCAAATATCAATTTCATCTAAATTTAAGTTATTTTTTTCTAATATAGTTATAAGCATAGGCTTTTCAATATCATTGAAATCGTTAGATTTAAAAAATAATTCTGGATTTTTACTACAAAAATCTTGAAGTAAATTGAACAGTTGATGATCTGATGAAATTTTATGAGCATAGATTAAATTCTGTTTAACCCATTCTTTTTTTTCATTAATCAAATAATCTTGTAAGTCATTAATTAATTCATTAAAGTTTAGTTCATCACATGCCTCAAGAAGTTCAAAAATTTCATTTCCATCCAGGTTATCAATATTAAGAGTTCCATTGTAAATATATCTATAAAATAAAATAAAATAATTTAAAATTATTATATATAATCATTCAATTTCTTTGTTAATTTTTTTAATTAAAATTAATAAAAATTAAATAATCTTACGTTAAAAGAACCTCAAATACATTTGGAAAAATATTTTCTTTTACAAATACAATAGTACCATCATCAGATTTTTTTATCCAATTGTTTGATAATGCAGCTTTAAAATATGGAGACCTTGCTTTTAAAATGGTAGAATGAGCTTTAAAAGTTTTAACATCTTCATCCACTCCAACTCTAATTTCTATATCATAAAAATCCGGCTCATCCAATAACCTTGTTAAATCATTTACGAGTTTACTGATATATTTTAATGGGTGAGCATTGTTGTTGGAATTGGTAGGATTGTCAAATAATATGTTTAAATTTTCTAATGATGAAAAACAAGTTGACATTTTTATGTATAGTTTAAAAAAGTGATTTTTTTTTACAGTTGGCACAGTAATAAATAAATTTTTAATTCATTCGTAATACGTGGGACAATGGATGACAACATGCTACAGCAAACTAGTACTATTGGATGATGTCAATTTTTTTCTGTACTATTATTATTGAAAACGCGACTTTACATATATATATATATATATATAGTTACACGGCATAATCTCAAAGCAAAAGCCCGAAAACTATATAGACAGTTATGCAGCTGGATCAATTCTTATATTAAAAAACGCAAATTGTCAAGGTTTCCTTGACCAGCTAATGATTTTTCCAGGCAGGATCCTTCCTTCCTAAGATGATCGATCGCAACAGCATAATGGATATTATTTAGGGTGATCCTATTCCTGTGGCTATTTAGCCACAGACCTTCCTAATTTGGAAGTGGAACATACGATCTTATGGAACCTGAATTAGCAGATCATATGTGCTACTTCCAAATTAGGAAGGTCATGTATACAGTCAACCCTTGTTTCAACGAATTTTTGGTAGGGATCTAAATCATACGATAAAAAATTAAATCATACAATATTTAAATTATAAAAAATTAAACATGCGATTTTTAAAAAAACATGTATTCTAATAAATCATGTAATTATTTTAACTTAAAGATGCAATAAAATGTACGTTTACTTTTGTGATTTTATCAAAGATGTATATAGGAACTTATGATTTATTTTTATTTAAGATGTTATAATAAAACTATAAAACTTATGATTATTTAAAAAAAAACATGTACAATTATGATACTGAAAGGTGTGAATGTTTAATTGAAAAGTTATCAAATCAAGAAAGAGTTGTTATTGAAAATTTAATCAATAAATTATCATTTACCTCTCCATTAGAAGCAGAAGAATATATTACAATTGATAATGAAGGAATGATAACTGACGAAGAAATTATTGCTTTTTTCAAGCCAATTGAAGAGGAAGTTGCCATTAAAAGTAATACAGCGTCTAATTTTGTTTTATTTGTATAATTTATTAATATTAAAATACAATTTGAATAAACGTTATCATTTATTATTATTATTATGAAAACTTTTTTCTAACGATCATTACCACTTTTGTTTCAGCGAATTTTTGTAACAACGAATTTAGAGTGACTGGTCCTATGTATTCGTTGAAACGAGGGTAGACTGTATAGGATTTTCCTATTATTTATTGTTTTAAAAATCAATCTTCGAGATTCGCGTAATAATCTCGTCGAATAATTTATATATATAACCAACCCATTTCTCAATTTTTCACACAAACACAAATTTTAGAAAATGGCTTTTTTAAAACAATAGAAATGTTTTTTAGTTGAATTTTAGTAAAAAAAAAATAGTACAATAATAATTATTTTAAGAGCACTACATAAAACAAAGAATGCTATCAACTGTTCTGGATTTGAACTTCATTTGTTGTTAAACCATCTGTACTGAACTCCCGGGTACACTGGAAGCAGGAATTGATAAATAATTATTGATTGATAGTTTTGGATACTGATCTAATGAGTCCAAACCTTTTGTATTTTTAAAGACAATTTCATTCATTATCATCTGAGACTACTAATAAATCTATATCAAGATTTTTTTTTCTTTTGATAAGTCTTACATGAACTTCATTATTTAAACTATCATAATCATTGTGATCATGTTATTATTTTTATCGGTAGCAAGTTGGAAATGAAAGAATATCTTATTTCATTCAGAATCATAAGTTTCAACCGTTTCATCCTTGGATCAAAGAATAAAGCCAATTATGTTTTTGTTTGTCCGTTAATAAAGGCTTCGCTACAGCAACTCTGGAAAAGATTCCAGACAAATTTTTCTCTAAAACCACTTATTTCCGCAAAACTTCAATTGTTTCCTTTTAAAATATTGTTCATTAATATTGAGTGCCTTTGGACGACCACTTCTCGATGCATTTTTTAAAATATCCAGAATTTTTATAATGTTAGATGGTATCATACAATGTAATTTTTAGAAGTTTACAATTTTATTAAGACTAATGACTAATACCAACCATCCTACGGCCTAAAAATTTTAATAACAAAATTTACACCAATAAAATTACACCTAATTGTAGCTCGTTTTTTTTTTCAATTAAAATATTAACATGAGTATTAAAAATATAAAATTTTATATACATATTTGTTAGAATCTAAGCTATACAATGTCATTTTTAATTATGTAAAATTTTTTGCGTAATTAATAAAAACCAAGGTTCAGATACTTGTTTCCAGGCAATGTGTGTATATATATATATATATATATATTTCTCAATATTCATTTCTACATAAATCTCATCTACATCAATCACTACGCACCCTTTTCATCGATCCATCGATCCACCCATCGATCCATCGATCCATCCATCTATCATGCACTCTTTTTCTAATAAATCAATAGATCAATTAGAAACACCAAACATTTTAGTTTCCATCAACTCTTCAATATTTTCAACAGAAGAAGTAGCAATCAAATTCTTCATATTCTCGGTGGCCTTTAAAAGTGACCAATTCTTATGTACATACTCCAAGATCACCCTTTTCAATTGTAATCTACTAGCTGGTGCAATATTTAATCGCCAGGTAATCTTCAACAGTTGATCCCATGTATCACAATTTACCATATGTGACAATCGTTCGGCAGCCAATTTTGCTAAATGCTCTAATCGCATCATATCAGCATTAATATAAATTTCTTTTAATATTTCGTATGATAATAATATATTGTTGCTGTTATCATCATGATCGATGTCATTATTATCTGGTAGTTTTAATGAGTAGATATAAGATATTATTATGTAGAAAACTTCATATGATGTGCTTCTAATTGGTATTCTCTTCAATGTAGACTCTTTATAACCACTTTTGAACATGCTATCAAAATATTCTGAACGTTGTGAAAGTAATATTTTGTGAGCTTTAATTGTTCTTATATTAGATGGATTGGAAGTGTAAGGCGAAGATAAAGAAGGGGACGATGGAGATGATGATGTAGGACAAGGATTAGGATTATCACTTATAAAATCAATGTTATTATTAGCAACATCATAATTGTCTTGTTCGTTGAATATAAATTCAACGTCAAAAAATGAGTCATTATTAAAAAATCTTTCAAATGATGTAGAACATTGTTGTTGTCCAACATCGCCACTAAAAATATTATTGTCATTAAAACTATTATTAATATTATTATTACTAGTAAAGATATTATTATTATTATTGAAACAAAAATCAAAACTATTATGATTATTACTATTATTATTGCTATCAGTGTCCCTATTACTAAAACTATTACTAGCGTTAAGATCTCTATAGTAGTCCTGTAATTGTGGTTTAGTATAAGTGTGAATATGAACTCTTATAAATATATTGACATCCTCTTCGATCTTTATTCTTTTCTGACCAACACTACCAACACCATTATTAACACGTTCTTGAAAAAGATCTTGAAACGTCCCAATGGAGTGTGCTCCATAAGAAACACATACACCTTGTAAATCGAAATTCCATTTAAATCTATCAGATACATAAACCAATTGTGGAATCTCTTTTGAAGAATCTTTTAGTATTAATGACGAAGGCGATGTTAAAAAAGAAGTAGAAGAAGTAGAAGAGCAATTATCAATGTTATTATTGTCATTAGAAGAAGAAGAAAAAGAAGAGGAAGAAGAGGAGGAAGAGGTTGAAGAATCTTTTAATAATTGATAAACCAAGAATTGAAATTCAATATCATTTCTTCTCATGATACAGTTTTGTTTTTCGAAAGGTGTTTGAATAGCTTCTAGAAACAAAGAAATTTCATTCTGATATTTATTTGGATACATTTTCATTCTCCATACATAATCAGAATCTTCTTCATTTTGAGTATTGTTATTATTATTTTTATTAGTAATATTGCTATCATCATTGTTATCACCATCATTACCATCATCAGCACCCCTATCGTCATTAATATCATTGAAAAGTGATGCTGGATCCCAAATTTGTTGTGGTGGATTTAAATAACATGTATCATTTATACCTCTTGGCGATTTGAATCTATCACTATATATAAAAGCATCATTATACATCAATTTAGTCAAATCTTGGAAACCACGAATTGTCCAAGAATGAGTTGTCTGGTATGGTTCCAATTCAGGTGGGAATGGCAATTGTATAGTAGTAGGCTGATTTTGTTGTTGTTGATCATGTGATGCAAGCATCGGTGGTGTTGATGAAAATGAAGGGTTGGGTCTTCTTGGTTGTATTCTTGTAGTGGCAGTAGGTGGTTGTGTGTGTATAGATAACGGTGGCAGAGCTCGTGATGGTGGTAATTGTGGTGGTGGTTGTTGTGGCAAAAGTAAATGTGGTGGTTGTTGTGGCGGCTGATATTGCGTGAATGGTTGTATTTGAGGTACAAACCAATTAGGTTGAATATTTTGCGGAACAACTCTTAAATTCATTGGCGCTACAGGCGGTGGCGGTGGTGGTGGTTGTGATTGTGATTGTTGTTGTTGTTGTTGTTGTTGTTGTTGTTGTTGTTGTTGTTGTTGTTGTAATAGTCTTGTTGGTAGTAGCGGCGGCGGTATTCTTAGTTGTTGTTGTTGGTCATTTTGACTATTATTATTATTATTATTATTATTATTAGTGTTATTTGTTGAATTGGATGAAATGTTGTTATTAATATTATTAATATTAGTTATAGCAACAGCATTTTGAATGGCATTAGAAAGGTGATTATTGTTGTTATTGTTATTGTTATTATTAATATACGATGGTGCTGACATTCTTTGTCTCATTATTTGCTTTTGAATTTGTAATTGGAGTTGTAATTGGAGTTGAAGATACTGTTGATTGGATACTGTTTGAGCTGTTGAAGAAGGTTGAACAGAATGTATTGGTTGCGTTGATTGAGCTGATGTTGATTGAACTGATGATGATTGTTGTATTGATTGAGTCGGGTGAGCTGATTGGAGTGATTGTATTGTTTGAAGTTGTAAAAGTTGTCGTTGTTGAATTCTTCTATTATTATTACTACTACTACTACTACTACTACTGTTGTTGTTGTTTGATTGTTGATGAGGTACTGTTTGAGCTGCTGAAGAAAGTTGAAGAGAATGCATTGGTTGCGTTGATTGAGTTGATGTTGATTGAACTGAGGATGATTGTTGTATTGATTGAGTTGGATGAACTGATTGCATTGGTTGTATTGATTGAAGTTGTAAAAGTTGTTGTTGTTGTTGCTGAATAAGAATTCTTCTACTGTTACTATTATCATTATTATTGCTGTTTGACATTGGATTCATTATTTTAATTATGATCTTATTTTTTATTGTCTGTTATCTTTGCTCTTCTTTACTTTTTTGATATTCCTTTTTTTTTTTTAAAGGGATCCTTCAGATTTCAGATTTGATAAAAAAAATTTTTTTTATTTATTTCAGAAAAATAGGAAAATAATGGGCATAACCATGGGGTGGGACAAGCAAAAGGGTATTTTACCCAAATTTGGATAATATTAATCATTTGTCGATCCAATTATATATGGGTTTAACGTGAACCCTTCGAAAATCCGTAGTTCAAACCCGTTTGTTTGTTTCTTTTTGATCTATAGTAGATAAAGCATCAGGGCCATCCCCTAGTGGTTTGCTTTATTTAGTTTTTACATTCAAAATATTTAGAGAGTCAGTTTAAACAACAAGCTTCTCGAAGCGAAAACAGATATGAAATTAAGGATCATGTAAAATTATTTTCCAAGCAGGTATTTTATTGAATTTCCTTTATTAACCAAATTTTGAAAATTACAACCAAAATTGTTAATAATGTTTTAATTTAATTTTTTAGATTTTCTCATCTATCCATCTGTTCATTCGTTCATTATTTATTATATATAAAAATAGAAAAGGCCTAACTGATAATCCGTATGAATCAGAGAAATTTCTGTAAAAGTAACAATAACAAATAAACTCTGCATCTCTCAAAAGTAAAAAGTTTTTTTTTTTCGATACAGAATAGAAAAAATACATACATCAATCAATGAACCCTTTTCTCTATCTGAAAACTCAAAGAAAAAAAATTATCTAAACAGGGGAAAAAAAGTATAGAAATAGCGCAACCTTTCATGTAAAGGCGCTTGATTGGTTTTTTATGTAAATTCCCCCACTGATTACAAAACGAGTCTCGACTTGATAGATTTAGCGGGTGTCCAAAACTGTCTATATTGATATACAATAAATTTTTCTTTATAATAATAATAATAATAATAGATTGTCCCAAATTACCCGTTATATAGAGATTCAATTGGTACCATATATGATTAGTCATAATATGAAAATTTATGAATTGTCATTAAACAATTGTATTTGCGATAGCAATTTTATATAATAAAAATTATTAAATATAAATTGAACTATTGATTATTTCAGAATATATTGATTCAAAAAATCATATACTCGACATTGTCTAGTCCCGGGTATGCAAATTAAATTTTCCCGCCTAGTTTTTTGACCGAAAGATTTTAGTCAAAATTATGTGGGAAATATTAAATTTTGAAAAAGCCTATTAAATTATTTTAAAATAATTCCTTGGTTCGTCGGATAAAGTGGAAAAATTAGTATGCACAGTTTCAAAAGTTATGTTACGGGTGGCTGTCTACATATTTCATGGTTGAAATATGATGTATGACGTTAATAAAGCGATGCATTGTAATATTCATTCAATTTTACTATTAAAGATATTAAAAGTAATAAAATTATTTAATGTATTCAAAGAGAAAGATATTTATTTATATGTTATATAATTCTCTTATTGATTTTAGGACTTGCTGATAAGATATTTTCGTTTGTGTTGGATGGAACCTCGGCTGTGATAGGTGTTTTAGCTACCAGATTATTTCAAATAAACCAATATTTAGTTGCAGCTCACTGCATGGAACATAGACTTGCTCCTGCATGTAATACTTTCTGCAAGCATGCAAGCATTGGTTAAAAATACTGCAAAGAAAGTTGTAATTTTTACCGAGTTTCAAACATAAATAGATTTTAATAAATAATCATTGCCAAGTTCAAAATCCTAAAATGGTTTTCATAATTGATTTTAATAATAGTCGAACTTTTTAATCTAACATCAAATGTTATTGCCGCGTAGACAAATTTCAATCTCAATATTTTTTGTATCACACACATGACCCAATCAGGAGATTTAACCAAATTTTTAATTAGATTGGGATTTACGTGTAACGAAGATCCATTTTTTAAACATTTTTGTTTTCGTACTTAATTTGTGATACGTGATCGGCACATTTTTTAATAATAAAAAACGGAATCTAAATCCAAGTGTGCCTGGTGAAAATTAAGTCGTCGAATCTGTTTCATTCCAAATTTGTATCTAATTTATCAAAAAATCATTATTATCTTTTGTTTGTGAAATATTTTGGTCATGTTATATTGGAGAGAAGTATTTTCAATTCATCAGATCGACATATAGTATCACGAATTAATATACATAATAATAATAAACATTACTATCAAAGTATTTTTTAAAATAGTAAACACTACAATTCTGGTTAAATTTAAATCCAAAAAAAGAAGCTAAACAAATGTCACCATAGATAGGATCATTAAATAGAAAAATACACCAATCAACCTTTGGTATGATCAGGCGCTTGATATTATGGAACACAATAGAACTTTCATAGTAAAGCCGTGTAACTTTAAAACCATATGACATTTATTAAAGAGGGTTTTCTGATTTAGATATGTGGATGGTTTTGACCCTTGACATTTTAAAGATCGGTAATTTTTTGATGCCTTTAGGACATGCATTATAGCATGATTATTTTATTACTATTATTATTAAAAATACCGAGAATCCGAATATTACCGAAATATTTGGCAAACCATTATTGTTTCAAATCCGTCATTATTAAAAAAATTTTTGATGCAATATCTTTAATAATACTAAAAAGTAATTTTAATAAAATTAATTTAACCCTAAACGAAGAATTGGAAATGTCTCAGCCTTAAACCGGAATGGATGCAAATGTCCGCGTCAGGTTAATCCCTTATAAAAGTAATTAAATGGGAAATGAAAAGATCGATCATCACATAATTAGAAATGTCAAATTCAGAAATAATAAATAATAATAACAATAATAATACATAACGGGAATATGGATGTACGTTTTTGATCATTTACATTATTATACATATTTATTATTTTAAATGCTAAATTTTATTGGGGCGTTGGAACATTTGGAATGTTCCATTGTGGATCCCAATTTATTTGCATGACATTTTAATTAATTTCAATTGGTTAATTTATTGAGTTACATTTGGAAACAATCAAAGGAATGTTCCATGTATCCGAATAAAAAATATATATTATCCTCCTTAATAATTCGTTCCTTTTAAATTTAAAATTACTTAAAAAAAAAAAAAAAAAAAAAAATGTCTTCAGAAACAGAAGGACTTCTTTCAAATAATAAAAACAAATCATTGGGTGCAAATAATCTGGAAACATACAATTCACTAAATAATAACATTAGTAACCTTAGCAATAATAACAATCATGCAATTGATGTTTATGATGATGATAGAGCTGGAAGGGTAGAAAATAAATCATTCTTTCGATCAATAATGTTAACGATACAATATTCAAGTTTAAATTTTTTATTAATATTTCTGCCTTTGGGATTTTTAGCAAAAAGTTTTGACTTGAGTGACACCTACATATTCACATTTAATTTCTTGGCAATTATCCCCTTATCAAAATTGTTAGGGTTTGCAACTGAAGATATTTCTCTTAGAGTAGGGCAAACATTAGGTGGTCTGTTGAATGCAACATTTGGTAATGCTGTGGAATTAATAATATCACTTGTTGCCTTGATGAAAGGTGAAATTAGAGTTGTCCAGTCAAGTATGCTGGGATCAATCATCTCTAATTTATTATTGGTGCTGGGAATGTGTTTTGTTGCTGGTGGATTTTATCATGATGAACAAGAATTTAATCAGACAGCAGCTCAAACAAGTTCAAGCTTAATGGCTTTGGCATGTGCTGGGTTGATAATCCCAGCAGCATTTAATTTTGCTATTGGAAGTGTTACTGATAATGCTACCAATGTGGCTTTTCTCCAAGAAGAAACAATAAATTTATCCCGTGGTGCATCAATTGTATTATTAATTATTTATGTGTTATATTTATATTTCCAGGTAAAAATTTTTTTTGCAAAAATATATATTATAAAATAAATAAACAAATTAATAAACAAATTATTCATTTATTTTTTTCCTTTAGTTAAAAACACATTCAAGATTTTATCTTGAAACAGAAGATGAAATAGAAGAACCAGAATTTTCACTTTGTTATTCATTATTTTTACTTGCATTCATTACACTCCTTATTTCATTCTCTGCTGATTTGTTGGTTGGATCAATTGAAGGAATTGTTGAAGTGTCTGGTTTATCAAAAACCTTTGTTGGTTTAATCTTATTGCCTATTGTTGGTAATGCTGCTGAGGTATGTATTTATTGTTATTGTTGTCATTGAAGGGTGTGTGTGTAAAAAACATTCATTAATCACCTTTTTTTTTTTTTCAGCATGTAACTGCAGTAACTGTTGCAATGAAAAATAAAATGAGCCTTGCAATTGGTGTTGCTGTTGGTAGTTCTATGGTAATTATACATGAAATTGAACTTTTCACATTTCCACGTTTTCTTTTTTGCTAATATTATTCTTTTTCTTTTATAGCAAATAGCATTATTTATCACACCATTTTTAGTAATTGTTGGATGGATAATTGATGAGAACATGACTTTATTCTTTCATACTTTTGAAACGGTCGTTTTATTTATTTCAGTATTAATGACAAATTATCTTATTCAGGTAAACGCTTTTTTTCTCTTACTTGTGAGATTTTTTTTTAAAATTCCAAAATTCATATATATATTTTTTTTTTGTTTTTTTTTATAGGATGGTAAATCTAATTGGTTAGAAGGCGCAATGTTATTAGCTACTTACACCATAATTGCTTTGGCATTTTTCTTTTATCCTGATAATCCAGACATTGACTAAATCATAAAAAACACGAAACACACACATATAAACATTATTGTCGTTATTCAATCATTTTTTTATTTTTATCAATTATTTATTTATTTATTTATTTGTTTATTATATATTATTTATTTAACTGTAAATATAATAAATGCGTTTTTATCATATATAATAAATCGTTAAGAGCTGTCACAGTATACAGCTTTATGGCTAACACTGAAAACCTTGGGATATCGAAATACAAAGAAAGGAAATAAATATAAACAATAACACCCACCTTGATTAAAATAACAAATTGATTTATAATGTTATTTGAAATTATGGAATAAAATCGCATTAAACGATACTATCAACAATTAACCAACATCTATTACATTCGCCTGTCTTTTCCTTCACCACTTGATTTCATTCATTGATTGTTAAAATGTTTTCGTGAATTGACTTTTCCTTGGCTAATTGTCTTCTTCCTCGAAGGCGTGTATTATTAACATGTATTAGATTTATCTTTTTAAAAAAGGATTATTTTTAAATTCTTAAAAAAAAAACGTCCTGTGCGCGAAAAAAGAAAACTAAAGCGAACAAAATAATTTCATGACGTTAACGGTCTCGCCCAAGTATTTTATTTATTTCAGATTTTTTAGAATCATAATAATTATTCATTCGTTAGCATTCTAGTTTGGCTTTGGACAAGTAATGCCTTAAATTCATATCTGACAAAAGGGCGAATACTATTGTAAAGATGATCCTCTTGAAGCGTCAATATCGGAAAAGATAAGCTTATGAATAGACAAGACTATTGACGATCCCTTGAGCTTACCAAATTAAGATTAGAGGCTTCAAAAAGGAAATGTTGGAATTCTTGGTTGTCATTCAATTTCTCAAATAACTTTCTTAGCATAAAAGCCTTTCCCAACGCTATGGTATTGAATTTTTGTTCAGTCACACAATCTATACTTGTTTTTCAATATAGCTATGAATTTGGTATGTATTAGTATTGGATCATAAAATTTATCCGATACTTTCAAATAACCACAATTGGATAATAACAATAAATAAATATGTGTGCGTTATAGATAAAAAGAAATCGGAGTTGTTAAAGCGCAAATCATTTAACGGAGAAAGTATTCCCTTTTTATTTTGTCAACCAATGTTTCGCCGATCCCAACTCTGCAACAACCATCTCTCAACATTCAACTTTTTAATAGTATGTATGAAGAAAAGTCTATAACTCCAATTAGAGCAGGTCATCGGAAGAGGCTATTAAAAAGAATGGGTTCGGTATGTACAGTATGTATATAAATAATATTTTATGAAACCCACCATTTTTAATGGATATTTATAGTGGGACCCTCGGTTCCATATGTAAAAATTTTTTTTTTCCATTGTAATGAGAGACAGTTAATTATAAAATTATAACGAGATTTTATTATTATATACTATTTGGAGGAAAATGTATGAATGTCACGCGGACGTTTACGCAATTTGGACTCATTCATATTTTTTTTGGATAATGATTTAAAGAAATTCGGAACAATTGCACCACATTCAGGGGAAGTTCAATAAATAAAAAAATAACACTCAAATGAAGGACCAATATATCCATTTGATTTGATTCTTTTATTAATCATTAAAATAGCTCCAAAGCAAGTTGTAAAGAATTTTTCCAATACAAATACTGAATACAGCAGTTCATACACTCTCCATATAACGGTTCTTCCGTTTCAGCGAAAAAAGTTCATTATTATTATAGAGAGAACCGTTATGGACAGTATATGTGGCATGCATTTCATCACAGTCAACGTAAAAGTGCATAAAATAAAGGTTTTAAACCAATAGCAATGAATTTTATTTAAAAGTTCAATATTATTATGTTGCACTTCTTTATTTATATCTTTAGAAATCTGAATTAAATTATTAACTTTCATTATCGATTTTGATTGGTAGTAAAAATAGAAGAAGGGGTGAAGCAGTAGATAGTGAATTATTTATATCGGGTAAAAGGTTTTGATGGTAAAGAATAAAAAAACCTGTATTGTCAACTTCTATTTTTTGATGCAGCCTCTACACAGCCCCCCCATTTTCTTGGTTTATTAATTAAACATTACTTGTCGAGTATTTTCATTTATTTCCTTCAGAGATAGCGCCTTCCAAAAACAGGCAATAAAGACAGTGTTGCGCTCTTGGAACATTGGAACGTTCCAATGTAGATCTTTGACAAATGAAATTTATTTGCGCGACATTTATTGGTTAATTTCATTGTGACTACATTTGGAACATTCCAATTCTAATAATACGTAAATGGAACAACACTTTCAAAATCCGTGTCAATCACTTGATTATGATATCCTTGACGAATATTAATAATTAAAAATAATGACTGTATGTATTGGTTTAACCAGTCATTCATTTAATTTGTTTATCTGTCGATTGCAAAAAATTTATTTGTAAAATTATAAATTTTTAAATTTCATACAGTGCGTAACGAAAATAATGACGGAAATGTGTTGTTTATCATGATTCGCATATATTTACCAACTTTCTTATCTCTCATTGAAGACATTTATAAAATAAAAGGCTTTGTCTACTTCTACTTCCTATCTCTAGCATCTTATTAACTAATATTGAGGCCTAAATTCACATTATTTACATTACTGACCTGACAATGCTCATTCATCAATGAAAAATACGTCATGAAGCGAATAGTCCCTTCATACCGTTGGACATAATTTTAAAATGCTAAAGAATGTGTACTATTGAACATAAGCAGGATAATCCAAGGTTTATATACTTTTTTTTTCAAAATAATCGGATTTAATTACAAAGTTCCAGAAAATATAAAAGCATGTACAATCTGATATAATTTTTTTGTATTATATTTTTGCGTTAGAATAATTATTAAAAAATTTTGATGTGAAATTTTTTAAGTCAAAAATTTTTGTGAAGGTTTTAAAAAAAAGATGCGAGTCAGCTTTACAAAAAATTAGCAATATAAATTTTTTTATTTCAAATGAATCTAAACCTATTTAATTATGCTTTGCAATCGTGCAAACCCACCTTCATCTATCTTTCAATGTTTGTTGAGATACGCAACCTTTTGTCACCGCAATTATTTACATACTAGCATTTGAGCACATCCTTCTTTACGTTTGTGCTTATTATTAGCTTTTTTTGTGTTAGTTATATTTATAAACTTTATTTTATTTATATATCTATTACAAAAATGTTTTTCTTATATTTTATTATAACATATATAACGTCTATAATATTAAAGCTTCTTTGTATACAATGTTCCGTGTATAAATCTCATCTTTGCCTTGTACTATCCCATTTTTCATAAATATCTTGAGATTACATTCTTTACGTACTCTTGACATGGCTACGTACAACTGTTCATGAATGAAGACAGGTTGTGGAAGATATAGACCAATATGAGACAGTGTTTGACCTTGAGGTTTATTTATGGTCAGGGCAAATGCTAGTTGTACAGGAAATTGTTTTCTTTTCAGCATAAAGGGCAACCCAGCATCTTCAGTTGACATGAGGGGAATCCTGGGTATGAATACACGTCTGTCTTGATGATCCTTGTAATTATTTCAGCATCAATTATTCGTGTTTGGAATTTCCTGCAGATGAGCCTTGTCTCATTACAAAGTCAATTGACAGGATCTAGATTTCTAAATACATAACATGATTGGAGCATTGACTTTCGGATGGAGGCAGACCTTGAGGTGTTATTGAATTGAAATATTCAATTGGATATAAGTTCTGGTCATCATCTGGCACTGAGTCAAAGCTATAGTATGTGCACTGCTTTCCTGGATATTTGACCATGATCCTCTCATTGATTGCATCAACATCTCTGTTCAATGGGGCAGTTATCGTATTACACCAACAGCCTTTTATCTGGCTCATTCCCATTAGTAAAAAAACACCAAAAACGGTTAATGCATTACGCAATAAATCAAAGTTCATGGCCCGAGTTACGTAATTAGTAAATAAATAATAAAAAAAAACAATCCATTTAAATTTTCGTTTTCGTTAATTAATTTTTTTTTTTTAATATATATATAATAATTTATATAGTAATAGTAAGAATAATTAAAAACGTTACGCATTAATCATAATACTTAAAATTGGCCAATCAAATCACAAAAAAGTGACAGACATTATAAATAATATATACGTGTATAGATTTCTAATAGATTTGCGAAACACAAATTAAAGTTTAAATTCCCTTTTAAAGAAATGTTTAAATAGACGACGGAGCATCAATCAAATTTGTACTACATCCTTACAATGCATCAAGCCATACTTCCAGATGATCTTATACAAAACGTTTTAGCATTACTTCCAATTAGAAAAACATACACTTTAAAAAGAGTTTGTAAAGCATGGAATAGCCTATGTGATCATGCTATATTAGAGCATATTAACCTAAACAACTCAAAGGTAATAATTAAACTTGGTCCTAATTCAATATCGAATTTATTTGTGACACTTGATTGTGTAGGCTATGATCCATCCAATGGTATTTTCACATTTAAGCCAGCACCCAACTCAAATCCCATTAGTTGTAGTCGCTCAAATCTAAATCAAATAATGTGTTTATTTACTGAATGGCTTGGATTAGATAAAAATAAATTTATTAATGATTCAGAAGATGGAAGTCTGGAAATTAATGGTGATATTGATAATAATAACAGCAATGTTACTCTTAATCCTGATTCAGATCCACACAGCCAAGAGTTGCTTAGGCATGCAAACTTTAAATTATTTCATATGGATTATATTGAGGCAGCACGAAAAGAATATCAGCTATTAAGAGTTAATAATGATAAAGAAAATACATATTATTTAGGTGATAAAGATATGATTTTAAAATGTCATTTGAACATTATTGATAAGAGTTCCTCATCATCATCAACATCAACCAGTAACATTGATTATACTTATAACGACAAGATTTTTAATTTTACAGTTGAATCTTTTCAAGTTTGTGCTTCTTGGTTAGTCTCAGGCACTACATTTAACATTATTCCAACTGAACATCGTCAACAAATTTATCCAAAACATTATCAAATTCTTAATAAACTATTACCAAAAAGTCATATACTTGAATATTCTCCTTATTCACCATTTGTATTAAAATGGGTATCATCAAAAAAATTTACAATAGATGATGGGGAAGATGATAACCATCATGTTGACGATGATGATGATGATGATTATGATGATGATGATGAACTTTCTGAATTAATAGATAATTTAATTGACACTGATGGAGATTTTGTTAGAAGAGATGAATTTGAGAAAGCAGTTGTTAATAAAGGAATATTGAAACAAAATATTTGGAAATATACATTTGTTAAAAAATATATTAGAGAGCCTGATCCATTAGAAAAATTTGATCAAGTTTTAGAAAGATTTGTAGCTGCTGAACAAAAATATTCTCTTACTTTGTCTAAAAACGATAATTTAAATGGAAATTCACCTAAAGGTTTCCTTAGTTGGATTCCTAAATTGAATTCTAAGTGGTGAGATAAGAAATAATGTCATTTGGAGAACATATCAATATTTATAGAAGAGTTTAATAATTCATTCATTATTTTTATGATGATGAATATCGTGTGGATTAATTTTATTTATATTAAAATATCATTATTGATAAATTAAAAAATATTATTTATTATTCTTTTTTCCCTTCAAGTTTATTATATTTCAACAACATTACTAATAATGTAATAATGATAAAAAATGAAATGAATTCAATAAAATTATATATATATATATATTTATTTATTTATTTAAAAAAAAGAAAAAAAAAGGAAGAAAAAAATATGAAACTCTTGATTTTGATATTTTCTATAACATTATTTTCTTTGGGTTTGGCTGTAAATTCCACGCCTTTATTTAATAGCATCAAGATTGATAATGACGATGGGTCAAAGAAGCCATATGTTGTTGTAATTAAATCAAAAAAATCAGAATTGTCATTAAATATCAACCAACTATCACCATCATCATCTATAAAACCTTCTTCATTACACGCCATATATGAAGATCACATTGCATGGATTTCTTCTGAAAATCAAATTGAATCAACTGTATCAAAATTAAAAAATGAATCAACTATTATTACAACTGCTAGTGCCAATAATAGTAATAATAATAATAATAATAATAACGTAGGAAAAATTCTTCATGAATATGTAATTGGTGATGATTTTAGAGGTTACTTAGGACTATTTAAACCACAATTTGTTGAAGAAATACTTAGTAAAAGAGATGACGTGGAGATAGTCGAGCCTGATTCTGAAGTTGAGGTTGCTTATGATCCATATGATTATCATAATCTCAATACAGAAAATGGTGGTATTGAAGAGGATTATTATTATAATGATGATGAAATTGATTATAAATTAAATGATGATGATGGTGGTGAATCTGATAAAAAAAATGATACCTTTCAAAAATTTGGATTTAGAATACAAGATGATGTTACTTGGGTATATTATATTATCTTATGATTTATTATATGATATATTAATTTACTTACCCATTATGTAATTTTTTATAAAAAGAATTTGGATAGAATTGATCAGCACAATTTACCATATGATAATAAATTTGCCTCGCCTGCTACGGGTGGTAGAAGAGTAAATATTTATGTAATTGACACGTAAGTGATTTAAAATTTATTTTATTTGGATTTTTATTATTACAAATTATGCTTTATTTTAATAGTTTTCCTCATTTAGAGGAATAAATATAAATCATCCTGATTTTCAAGGAAGAGCTTCTTGGGGTGTCACGATTAAACAAGGCTCTCCCAACATTGATGATTATGGGTATGTGATTAAATAAGATTGGTAATTATTATAAAATTAAATACCAAAATTAATTAAAAAATTAAATATATATATATATATATATATATATATATAGTCATGGTACTCATGTAGCAGGAATTGTACGTAGTCAAATAGTTGATTATAATTTTTGATTTATTATTATATTCTTTTTTTAAAAAAATTATTTTTTTTTATTTTCATAAAAAATATATAGATTGCTGGTAAAAAAATATATATATATATATATAAAACATCAATATATATTTGTAAAAATAACATCACATGAAACAAATATATTTATATAGGAAGTTGTTTTGGGGTTGCAAAAGCTGCAAGAGTTATAGCCGTTAAAGCTTTAGGAAGATCAGGTTCTGGAAAATGGAGTGACATTATTAAAGCAATGAATTGGGTTGCTTCTAGACATAAAGCAGGCCTAAAGAAAAATACTATAATAAAGTAAATAAATAAATAAATATTCAACTGGATTATTATTTATTAATTGTTAATTTTAATACATTCTTCATTTTTATTCCCTTTTTGATTAAACCAGTCTCTCACTGACTAGTAAATTATTTGCACCAGCAAATGCTGCAATAAAAGCTCTTACAAATCTAGGCATACATGTTACAGTGGCAGCTGGTAATTATTATGGTGCAAACGCTTGTGCCTTTTCACCAGCCTCTTCATCTGAAGCCATAACCACTGGTTCTACGAATATTGATGATATGATTTCAGAATTTTCTAATGTTGGTCCTTGTATTGATATTTTCGCACCAGGTATACTATACGACTCTAAAATCCAAGAGTTTTATTTATCTGTCTATCTATAAAATCAAACATTGAAATTTTTTATCTCTCACACTCACCAAAAATTAGGAGAGGATATTTATTCAACATGGATTGGATTACATGGATCAAAATTATTGTCTGGTACAAGCATGGCATCTCCCCATGTCGCTGGTGCCATAGCATTAATCATTAGTGAAAAAGGTAATATGTCACCAGAAAAAATGAAATCAATGATAGTAAAATTGGCTACTCATGGTGTATTGAAAAATACAGAGTCAACCAATCCACCTTCTCATAATAAGTTGTTATACGTGAATATTTGATTTATTAGTTGTACTGGTTATAGAATTTTTTGCTGAAATTTTTCTTAATAAAAACAATTTATATTTTTATAAAATGCATTTTAAATTGAATGATTAAACTACTAAATTATTGATATTGTCTATAATATAGAATTTTTATTTAAATTGCAATATTAATTATTTAATATTTCAATTATATTGTTTTAAAAATATATTAGCATTAAATTATTCAATTAATAAAATGATTAATAAAATGATTAATTTTCTCCTACTTTCAAATTAACACACTTCTCTCTTCATCTTCTTGTATTCCCTCCTTCTTCCAATCAAGGAATTGGCGTATATCCATCTCTCCAACGTTTCCACCATAACAAAGGATTAAGTTCATGCCCAAGATTTCTCCAATGTAGTATCCATGCCCACCCATACACACCAGAACTACTAACAAAACTAAACAATAATAATCCAATAACAAATCCAAGAAATGTTTTACCAATGGGTTCTTCTGATACATGTTCAGGCAATAGAACCTTATCAATCAAATAAACTGTCCCATTATTACTAGCTTTACCACTATTTAGTATACCTGCCTTATCCATAAAACTCCAGTGTCCTTTCACCTCCAACATATAACCACCATTGAAAATATCTTTTCTAACCACAAGTTTAGCATCATTGGATAGTAATGTTTGAAGTTCTTTACCCTCTCGAAGATTCTCAATTTCCCCAGGAATAATATGCAGTAGCAATAAACGTGCTACTCTTTCAGCGTCATCAAGCAATTTTGTAAAATTCATTTCAATAAATGCTTTATCTGTTGGTGACAAAATAGTGTATGTCTCATTTGAGTCTAATATAAGCTCTGTGAGATTTGCCACTTTTATCAGTTCCAGCATAATATCTACATCAGCTCCTATAAGCAACTTTTTTACTGTGACAATTAATGATGGTGGTAACAATACATTATCAATTACATGCATGACACCATTTGAAATTAAATTGTTGCCACTGGTAATAACTGAAACAGAAGTAGTAGCACTGTGGCCATCTTTAATGTATACATCAGTTCCCTGCTTTATAATTTTAAGTTCATTACCCTCAATTGTGTGATGTATTGATTCACCTTCAGGTATATCTTCCAAATACAAAATTTTATCAAGAACATGATATCCAACCACCAAATCCAAATCAGCTTGTCCTTTTGTAGTTAACAAATAATGATTTATCAAGCCTAATTTTGTAAAACCACTATTTATAGGTGCAAACACAGTGATTCCTTTAGCATCTAAAATAGAATTTAACTTTTCACTTGCTGACATTGACAAGACAAATGCTGATAGTTGTTTGTTTTGTATTATAGTTTTCATAATGTCAACTGGTAATTTTTCAACTTCTGAAATCATATAAATTATTGCATTATCAATTTCCACTGGTTCATGTTTATCAATCACAACTGCATTATTAAATTTGATGATAGATGAAGAAGGTCTTGCCAAGTACTCCTTATCATCATCCTCACCATCATCATCATCTGTTTTTAAACGAGGATATTTTTCCTCTATAAACACTTTTATTCTTTGATTTTGATTGTTCAATCTTTCAGTTATCAATTCAGTTTTTATCAACATTTTATTTTTTAAATTATTTATTGTATATTTTCCATTCAAGAAATGATATTTTAAAATTTCTTTTGTGTTATTTTTGTTGGTGTTTGGATCAATATAAAATACATCATTCCCTGGTGCTAAAATTGTAAAGAGTTGTGTTGTTGGTTCATCAATATATTTCTCCAAATGGTTTTCAACTATTGAATCTGCAAATTTTGATGCATTTAAACCACAAAGATATTTATGCTTTGTAAAATATAATGCATTTGGTAATGATAAATTATTAAGAACATGTATTACACCTATCATATATATGAATTAGTGTTGTTGTTATTTTATATATATAGAAATCAATTGATCAACCATAATAAAATATTTACCATTTTCTGCCAACAAATTTTTACGTAAAATTAAACCATTATCAACATAAATATCATTTTGATTACGTGATATCTTTAATTTTTCACCTTGAACTGTATCAACTATGAAATATTAATGATATTAATAAGACCATTAATTTTTCTTTCCCTTGATGATTGATATATATATATATATATATATATATACATATATATATTACCTTCTGATTCACCATCTTGAATATTTTCAGTATATAAAACTTTACTATAACTTAATAAATACTTCACCATAAGATCCAAATCATCAAGTCCTCCACCACATTCTGATGTTAAATAATTTTTCTGAAAATATTTAAGTTGATGATTTATAGCATCATTTGTAGGTACAAACACTGTTGTGTGATTTTTATCTTTAAGAACTCTGTCTAATCCTTTCATTTTAAGATAATTGGTAAATAGATTTGTTTCAGCAATCAGAGATAATGTTGTAACTAAATAATAATAACACAACAACATTATTATTACCTTACAAATAATAGTAAGGAATGAAGTGAAAAAAAGAAGATAACTTACATATATCTTTTGGTGGGATTAATACCTTAGATACAACATGAATAATACCTTTAAAAAAATAAACAATTAAAAATTCAAGCTTATTTATAAAGAACACAAAATTCATTTCATCACATTATTTATTTTTTGATTTACCATTATCTGATTGCAAATCAAAGTCTGTGATTTTCGCGTTTCCAATAAAGTATGTATTTTGTTCATCTATCTCGATATTAAGCCTTTGACCAATGTTCTCATTGCCCAGTTTTTCTCCCAAATCCAGATGAGTTACTAACAATTCTTCATTTTTAAATTCTTCTTTCTTGATCTCTCTATACAAAAGATGATAAAGCATTTGATCCCTGGTGATATCCTTAATATCAAGGCCTTTAAATGCATTATTATCAGGAGCAAAAAAGGTCGCAGTCTCCAAATGATTTATTAGAGGAATGAGCCTGGTGTTTTGTAAAGTTACCAACAATTTGTAAAAACGTTTCTGTTCTGATAATGCATCAATAATAGTCTTTCTTGCTTCAACGAAATTTGCTAAGCTATTGTGAAAAATAAAGCAGCTTGGTAATGTCAAAAGTAGAAGTAAATGAATGTGAATAAGTAGTAAGGTGAAATGTCTCGGCACCATTTTTTATTTTTATTAGAAAAGGGAAGAAAAATTATTGCGTAATAATTGTGATTGATTCCGTTTGCCTGGTGTACAACAAACTTAAATCATATGATTCGTGTACATGTTAAAACAAGATTTTAGCAAAAAGGATGCACAGTAAGTTTTCTTGTGAAACTTTATTATTAATATATATTAATATAAATAAATACAGAAAAAAAAATTTTTTAATCGAGATTCTCATGTGTGTTAATTAAACGTTAATTAATTGCTTTGGCAATTTTTTAATTTGGCCACGACCTCTCTGGTCCAGGATTTTCAATCTTACATATTCTTGAATCACGGATTGATCAGTTTTTATACAAGAAAAGTCTAAATCTAAGTTTTCAAGCGAATCCCAAGAAAGGCACTCTGCGTATACTTGACCAGGCGCGAACATATTTTCATCGATGTTGACAGTTTGCATGAAGTTATTTCAATCTTTGGGTTTTGTGCACGGTAAGAGAGAAGCCATTCTGCGAAGGAAGTTTCTTTTTGCATAGTCACCTTTGAAAAAAATTATTAACTCGACTTTTTGAAATTGCTATCCCTGAATTACTTTTTAAGGATGGTTGTAATATTTGTTCTCCCCAAGATCATATCGGGGTGCATAGCAATTGAAGTGGAAATATTCACTTTTGGTTCTGATTGAGGATGTTGTAGTTGATTGTGTCTGCAGCAACTGAGATAAATGAGCCAAAGCTATCTTCAATAAGAGGTAGTTTTTTACAAACCAGCTAGTTTAAATTTTCTAAGATAAACGTAAGCGTGACATCTACTATTACTATTATTTATTTAAGAGTTGGTCACTTAGTTTGTACCACAGCAATTAATTATTTCGGGTATAAGAAATTTTTTTACAAGTCATATCCACATGAAATTATGTTTTAATTTTTTTTGGGCGTAAAAGTTAGAACTTTTTAATTTAGATTATTAATTGATTATTACCATAAATAATAATAATAGCAAAAAAAAACTAATCGTAAACAACTGATGGTTTGATCCTATTTCTTTTTTTATTGGTGCCATCCATCACAAATACAAACAAGAGTTTGTTTTCATGTCATTTTCAAAATTTTTCCGATCTACCCTTTCTAAACTTAAATCCTAGTTGTTATGCCGATTTGTTTAATATTCTTAATATTAACTTTCCAAATTAGAAATGCATACTAAAATCTAATTTATATTTAGCTTCAACATCTAGCTCTTTTTTCTCATTCTCCCCCTTCTCAGTAACATTACTATCTTCAGGAATGTTCATTAAAAACGTGGTGATTGGTATAAATTCACTTTTGCTTTCAGAATAACTTGAAAGGCCAATTTCATTTATGATTACCAACAAAGTTTTTACGGGCAAATTTATTAAAAAAAGGTTTTTTTTTGCAACCAGGTGCATATTAAAAATCTTGCACATAGCACACAAAATCTGAAAAATAATGAAAATAATTAATAAATGGTGTGATTATCTATCTACCCATCGACAATTCTTCAACTTTAACCTTATCAACTACTTATTATTATTATTATTACGATTATCATTGTAATTAAATCAACTATTTAATTTGCCCTATTAAATTATATTTCATAATTTAATAAGCTATCATTACTTAAATTCAATTTAGCAATTTCATCATTTAAACTTAATATTCTACTTGTATGATATGCTAATGGATGTGATTTGTGAATTTGTTGTGAATTACTATTATTACCATCATCATCACCACCAATATTACTACTATTTTCATTAAGACTCTCAATTTTAAATTTATTACGAGCAAATACAAAAACCTCTCCAATAGTTGGTCTTTTAGATGGATCCCCATCCCAACACTTCTGCATCATTTGTACACAATCATCAGGCATTCCTGGTAATATTGGTGGTCGTAA